ATAATTTTTTTTTTTTTTATTGTAAATGTCGGTTGCTCACTGGCTTTTATTTTGAAAAAGTCCACCGTGAGCGCTTCTTTAAGTTTGACGTCTTTTCTTTACACTTTTTTCTGACCACGTGAGATGCAACGTGGCTGCAGGCTGGTCCGGCCCAGCGTGGGCTCTGAGCGTCCACGGGCTTTTAGCTCCAACCGGGTCGCGGGTCTTTCTCTTTTTTCTCCTTCTTCCAGACACCCCTGAGGCCATTGATAACTCAGTGAAATATGATTGGCTAAGACAATTGTCAATCTCAAACTTCGTTCCAGTCACCGAAGGTCCTGCAGGTGTCTGTTTAGTTCAGTGCTGCAGGGGGAGTCACTGATTTACCCAGAAACCATTGGAAGAAAAAATGTGATTGGTCCATTTCTATTCCATAATATTAACCCTTTGTTTCCCAAGAAATATCAGTCCAAGTTTACAACAATGATCTAGAAATTATTACTAGTGTAGTGTTTATTACTCACTGCATAAAAAATATAGAAAAAATATATTAGCAGTACAAAAATTAATTCAATATTTTTTCTTGAGCCTTCTGAATACCTTGAAGGTAAGTATATTATTATTTATTATTATTATATTATTATTATTATTATTATTATTATATTATTATTATTATTATTATTATTAATAATGATAATAAATTTATATTCAGCTGTTCTACAATATCTATATTAAAATAATAATAATAATAATAATAATAATACTATTATTATTATTATTATTATTTTAATATAGATATTGTAGAACAGCTGAATATAAATTTATTTTGGATACATTTATTTTTTTCTATGAGTGATTTCATGTTCAAAGTTTATTTTATTCATATTATGTTTTATACATCGCAAAACTGCTCTAACTACTTGAAAGTTTTGCATCAATCATCAATAATAAAGTGTTTTTTTGAGAAAGAAATGCTGAAGAAATGCATTGTGTAACTAAAAAATAATCGTTTCAATAATCGTGATTTCAATATTGTCCAAAATAACCGTGATAATGATATTTTCTATAATCGAGCAGCTCTAAAACCCCCTGACGTAAATGTTATCAGTGGTAAAATGAAGACTGCAGACGTATATGCTGTTTAGAATCATCTGGAATTTGGCGCCTCGGAGTCGTGTGTCAGTGGGGAAATGATGAAAACTGAGGTATGGTTGGAATTGTTGATGAGCCGAACATAACGGAACACTACAATGACATGGAGATGAAGAAAACGTGGACTTTTTCTCATTTTCCTACATTTTCTCAGACTTACTACTGCAAACAGAACCCAAAGGAAGTTTTCATAGCATGTTTCCAGACGTCTTCCTGGTTTGTGACGTAAGCGTGAATAGAGACAATTCTAACAATCCTACATGGTTGTTTCTCTGTCACGGTTCGGCATGACTAAGCAGACTTATCATATTTTCAGAAAGCAACTATGATTATTCTTCTGTTGGAGACGGGTCTGTCAAATGATTTTCTCCATGGAAATGTTATGGCTCTGTCTGGAATGTTTCACTGTATGACATTAAACCTTTTTATTTGTATGAAGACCAAAACAGACCAAGTTACAGGTCAGATCTGTAGAGAGGCAACTCCGCTCACAGTCAGAATGCCTGTTTTTCTTGGTATTTTTGAGCTATAAAACCACCTGAAATTTAATAAATCTAAGGTCAAGCTGTTAAATGTCACACTGTGGAACATTCCAAGCAGAGCAATGACAGACTTTTAACCAAAAAGTCACATAATGCACCTTTAAAATAATACTATGTAACTTTCTGGAGATTGCCCAACGCCTGCAGGATTCCATGGAAACAGAAGGTTAAACCAATCTTCGAAACATTTTCCCTGGAGATAGATCAGTTTTATGCCATACTGCGGAGGATTACAACATAAGGCACATTATTTCCATGGAAACAAGCAGAGGCTCTCCTCCAGGCCACAGAACAGTCGGAATCGTGGAGATGCCAAACCAAATTAACCAAATTGAAAACACATGCTTTTATTTGATTCTGTCTTTGGCAAAAAAGTTACATTCTGGGGCTTTACTTGCATAATCCCATCAATAAACGCTTTAAAAAATATATTAAACAGCTTGTATTTCATTATGCATCATTTCATCGTTGTTCTTTCATTATTTTGTCTATTAATGTAAAACAGAACTGAAAGAAGGCAGAAAGAAACTTCTCTTTAATGAAACTAAGTCCTAAAAAACAAAACTTTCCAAAGTGGCTATAAAGAAGCACACTTGGCAACTGTAGGACTAGGACTCATTCAAAATTCAAAACTGGGTACAGGCCGTTTTATTATTACTGCCATTTAACAAAACAACCAAACGATAACAAAGAACAAGACCAGAAACTCCAACCACAAGGCAATAGCTGCTTTATAAAACTGTAGTCAAGTTGTTCTCTCTTTTCAGTCCTCTCCTTTGAACTGAACTTAAAATGAGCATCTGCAAACACATGGGCACTCAGACCTATCCACACGGTTGTCATAGTGATGCAAGCTCATGCCATGCCACACACAGAGCTGACATGCTAACAGGATGAAGTGCTCCTCCCACTGTCAGCAACGCAACACTACAAGTCTGCCCATCAAAATTAATTAAAATAAAAGTGTTTTTTTTCAGATTGTCTTACTAATGTAAACAGACTCAGTAGCAGCAAGTACAGTTCTGAACTAGAACTAGTGCTCAGGGCTAATGAGACGAGACCAGTGAAGGCTCGGTTTAGATTTATGGGTTTGTTTAACGTTTTGCTGCAGCATAGCGTTCTGTCAGTGGGGGGTCGACAGATAACCTGTGCATGCACTTCATGCAGACTACAGACAACTGATGATGACAAAAATATAGATAAATTAAAAAAAAAAAAAGAATAAACAAATAAATAAATAAAACTACACAACAGAAAAGAGGGCGCAACTAAAGAAGGGAGGGGCTTCCACGACCGCAACAGAACCTAGCTTCAGCTTTTACGAGTTGAGCTCAAAGTACAGTTTTACCGCTATCCCATCATCAATTCATCAACTATCTCTGCAACTACCATTCCAAGTATCTCTCTAGCTACTACTCCAATTATCACTCTAGTATGACTCCAACTCCAACTCCAACTACAACTATCTCTCCAACTACAACTTCAACTACCACTCCAAGTATCTCTTCAACTATCTCTCCAACTATCTCCCCACCTACCACTACATCTACCTCTACAACTACTACTCCAACTATCACTCTATCTCTCCAATTACCACCTCAACTATCTCTTCAACTACTTCTCCAACTACAACACCAACTATCTCTCCAACTACCACCCCAACTACCTCTCCAACTACAACTTCAACTACCACTTCAACTACCACTCCAACTATCACTCCAACTACCTCTCCAACTACAACTTCAACTACCTCTCCAACTACCTCTCCAACTACAGTATGTCTCCAACTACCACTCAACTATCTCTCCAACTATCACTCCAATTACCACTCCAACTACCTCTCCAACTACAGTATGTCTCCAACTACCACTCCAACTATCACTCCAACTATCTCTTCAACTACCACTTCTCCAATAACCACTCCAACTACCTTTCCAACTATCACTTCAACTATCTCTCCAACTATCACTCCAACTACAACTTCAACTACCACTTCTCCAATTACCACTCCAACTACTTCTCCAACTATCACTTCAACTACCTCAACTATCACTCAACTATCTCCAACTATCACTCCAACTCTTCTCCAACTATCACTCCAACTACCTCTCCAACTATCACTCCAACTACCTCTCCAACTATAACTCCAACTATCTCTTCAACTACCACTTCTCCAATAACCACTCCAACTACCTTTCCAACTATCTCTCCAACTACAACTTCAACTACCACTTCTCCAATTACCACTCCAACTATCACTCCAACTATAACTCCAGCTACCTCTCCAATTATCACTCCAACTACTTCTCCAACTATCACTTCAACTATCTCTCCAACTATCACTCCAACTACCTCTCCAACTATCACTCCAACTACCTCTCCAACTATCACTCCAACTACTTCTCCAACTATCACTTCAACTACCTCTCCAACTATCACTCCAATTACCACTCCAACTACAGTATGTCTCCAACTACCTCTCCAACTATCTCTCCATCAACAACTTCAACTACCTCTCCAACTACCACTCCAACTATCACTCCAACTACCTCTCCAACTATAACTTTCCAACTATCACTCCAACTACTTCTCAAACTACCTCTGCAAAAACCTCAACTCCAACTACTCTTCAACTACCACTTCTCCAATAACCACTCCAACTACCTTTCCAACTATCTCTCCAACTACCTTTTCAACTACAACTTCAACTACCACTCCAACTATCACCACTGATGACTGAATTATTGTGTGAGCAAAAAAATTGAATTACATAACGCTCTATACTGTCACTTTCTTTGTTTGTTTGTTCTATATATTTTCAGCTGCTCATAATTGCCCAGCTGTGCATTAGAAAGGTGTAATGAAGCATAATTCGTATTCAGCTATTAGAACACTTTAGTTGAAGAAACCAAATGCAAACAGATGAGAATAAAATAGAACGTGAAAATATATTAACATTTGTATTGTTAAAAAATATAGATAAAACTTTGAATTTAATATTTGTCTCAGTACGTGTACAAAATGGCAAAAATAAAATAAACTGAGACTGAGTTTTCAATACCAAGGGCAATGGCGTCGCTGCTTCACTAGAGGGCACTGTGGTTTCCCTTTATACCAAAGAGAAGATTTACAATGAAAACAATCCAAGTCAAGATGGACAGATTTTGAAACACCCTCCAGAAGAAAAATAATAAGAAAACGTAAATAATAATAAGTGACAAAAAAGAACGAACACTCAAACAGACATGAGAACCAAAGCATGACCCAAAGCTGTGACAGGTGGCTCCGGATGAACAGTGTGTTGTAGACATGATAATAAAGTCTTACCAGGCTTCTGCACTCCCTGCACCTCCTTCTCTCCGTTCTCCAGCGCTGAGCCCGCCGCTGCACACACACCAACCACACCGTTACACCCACACACTCACGGCCTAATCCTGTGAGCGTCACTTAGACTTATTCCAAATCTCCCACACGTACTATTCAACTGAAATGCATCATTGTCTGCCTCCCTCCCACTGTCAGTCTGACTGTTTAAATATGCACTGTGCAACCTTTTCCTACCTTCTCCTTGTCTGCTACCATGGAGATGTTACTGCTTTACTAGAATGTTCCACAGTATGGTACTAAACATCACTTTTAAGATTTGTTTTTACTGTGAGCTGATTTACACAGATTTGAAACTTGGCTTTGTGGCATCAACTAATTGTCTCCATGGACATACGTTTAATGCTTACTGTGGAACATTTCAGGTAAAGCAGTACATTTTTAACAGAGATATGCAGCTGGGGGATCCTCAAGCAGAAATGTTACATAGATCCCCTTTTAATATCAATATGATGCTCATTTATTTATTGTCCTCCAGCTAAGTTAGTTCTGACAAAGACAAACTCAAGATGTGGAGATGGTCCCAGTGCTCCTGACAGGTGGTCCCAGTGACATTGCAGGACGGGTCAAATGTAGATGACATTTGACAATAAAAGCTAACCTTAACTAATTTATTGCTACACAAAAGAACAACATACATCACAAACAAGTCAGTTGAGCATGGATAATAGGGATGTAATAATATCCTAATCTCTCAATATGAAGTGGTCATACGGGCTTGTCATAGTTCAGCAGGGCCGGGCCTGGTTAGTACTTGGATGGGAGACCACTGGGAAAACCAGTTGCCACAGGGGGGCGTTGGTCACAAAAAATGTAGTGTCCTTAGGCAAGACTCCTCACCCACATTGCCTAGTTTGAAAGTAATGTGTGCAATAAGTGTTAGTGGTGGCTGGAGGGGCTGATGGCACAGATTGGCAGCCTCGCTTCAGTTGGTTTGCCCCAGGACAGCTGTGGCTACACCAGCAGTTTACCACCACCGTGTATGGAGTGAATGAATAATGCTCTGAAAGCGTCTCTGTGACATAGGTTTGTGAAAAGCGCTATATAAAAACTAAACTATCTTAAGACATTTTCTCGATATGCAGCTCACTGTACCATATTTATTACGATATTTTGTGAACGCTAACAAAACTGTGAATATGCTACTTTTCTCTCATCATAATCCAAATAATTAAGATTTAAAAGTGCATAATAATTACTTCCATTTTCATTATGTAGAGTGGACTAAAACAGAGCAATGGACCATGGTATATGTACTGTATTTTCCACACTATTAGACGCTCTGAATGATAAGGCGCACTGTCATTAAATGGTCTATTTTCAAACTTTTTTCACAAATAAACCGCACCGGACTTTAAAGGAAACACAACAGTGTGATGGGTGAGTGGTTTTGTTTGTTTGTGGCGTTCACGGTGACTCTGGGCTTTGTTCAGTTGTGGCGTGTAGGGAGGGTGCTGTCTGGGACCAACGGATTGTCGGCGTGTTCACAGTGACTCAGTTGTTCAGTTGTGTCTAGAAGTGGCACATTGCACTCGCTTTTTCGGTTCGTTCCTCCGTTCCGTTCCTCGTCGACGTGGAGTGATGAGTGTGTCTGTGGGTGTTTTGTCGCTGTGCGGTCTCTGTCTGCTCCGTGTGTGTTTGTGTGTTCTGTGGCTTTGTAGTTTACTGAAGCCATGCTTGAACACCCGAGTGGATTCGTGTATGGGGTGCTCTGGATTGTGGGGTGCGGTCGTTTTTTGATGGGGTTAGAGTCTTAAGAGCGCGCCTAATAGCCCGGAAAATACGGTATTTCTCTCCGTTTTTGCACCATAACAATGAAATTAAGCCAAGAAACCTGTAATTTGATATATTGTCATGGCCCACGGTATTATTGTGAGACTTTTGACGTCACGATATCATAATATTTTGGTTACTGTTACATCCCTAGTGGGTAAAAGTTGTAGAAACATGTTGAAGTGAGTCAGACAAAGTGCTCTGGCTCCTCTTCACTGCAATGGGACCTGGGCCAGACACACAGATTATACGTGCCTCACAGCTCCTCCGCCAGCCCGGCCCAGCCCAGAGAGGGAGAGGGGGAGAGGGGGTGGGGGGAGAGGGGGGCAGGGGGCTTCCGGACAGTGATCGTAGACGGGAGACAATAGCAGCAGACAGCCCAGCCTCACTCCACGGCACTGAACCTGTCAACATGTCTGCAGTGTGCCCTGGCTCATCACTGGAACCGGCACCCTTGGGCCCCTCCAACACCCACCCACACTCGCCTCGTGTACAGGGATTTTATGGGCGTTTGTAGATCTACTGAAATAATCCAACCTCGACTTCTGAGCACAGAAAACATCACTTTTTTGGAGAGAAGACGAGTTGAAATGAAGCCAAAAACAAAAGCTGCTAGACTCAAAGTTCATTTGAGTGTTTAAATTATCATAATGAATGAGTTTTGGTCTAGTTCAGTTACTGGGTTAGATCTGTTATCAATGTTATCCTGTTTTTAGAGCAATCCAGACTGTTTGTTAAATGTGGTTGTACTTGATTTTTAAGTACTGTACAAATATACTGTAAAAGCAGCTCCCGGGGTCCAAACAAGAACACTGTGTGCTGCCTGAGTTAGAATAATTAGAATGCTCAAAATGTATTAGGAAATGGACGCTGTATGATCCCTGTTAGAGAGTTAGTGGCGCTGTAACTAACCTGCTCTGTTATCGTCGTTGTCCAGCAGGGGGATGTAGTCCGTCTTGCCCACAGTCTCTCCCACCTCGTCGTCAAAGGGCTCGGACTCCAGCTGAGCCACGAAGTCCCTCTCCACCCTGCTCTCCGGGCTGGCCTGGGGAACCCCGTCTGTCAGAGCGTCACTCAGGCTCAGGTCCAACTCCGCCATGGCTGAACAAAAACAAACATTACGCATTAGTGATGGAACTAAAGAAATATCTGACATATTTCAATGACTCAATAATCAGTTTAGAGAAACTGTTGTATTTGGAAACAAAGTATGATGAATTTTAAAAGGATTGTCTGGTTCTTTTTTGTAAATGGTCACATTTTTATACAGCGCTTTCCCACTTTTACGGCACTCAAAGCCCTTTACATGAAGGAACCAGTCACCCATTCAAACACACATTCAACACACACCTTCATACACCAGTGTACACAACCTGTGGGTCAGTGCATCTGACCGCTCTACCCATGTTTATGTTGAGAGCAGGATTCAAACCTTCGGATCAGTGGACAAACACTGTACCAGCTGAGCTGCCTCAGTCTCAGCTGCTTGTCTTTGCTGCATTAGTTTGCACTTTTGCATAATATTCTTTGTCAAAATTTGCACTGGTGTTAATAAACATAAATCAGATTACTCACAGCAGATGGAACTGTTTACATGACATTTCAATAATCTGATAACTCCAGAGATCAGATTATGATCAGAGTTTTAGTGTATGTAAACATATTCACTGGTCTACATCAGTGTTTCTCAAACTGTGGTGCATGTACCCCTAGCTGCACTCAGAGTATTTGCTTTGTGGTATTTTGTGTGAAAACTTTGAGAACCACTGGTCTCCATAAACCATGCACATAAAACATTTCAGAGTAAATACAGCTTTATGACAATGACCTGGTGCTCCTCACAGCAGTGTGTGAGACACTGTGGTTCCTGTTGGCCGTTAAGAGCAGAGCAGCAACGCAAACTTTACTTTTCATTTTGGAATGAGACTGTCACATTGGACATAGCAGCTCCACATAAGTTTTAACTAACAATCATAGATGCGTCACTATTGGATATAAAATCTAACTTCAACTGAGAACTTCTTCATAACCCCCCAACAAGGAGCAGAACCAACCAGGCACCTCGCCCCAAGGACCCAGTAACACACTACTACACAGATGTGAGTCTGGTCACCAATGAGTTTAGATGGACATGATTGACAGGTGGATTAGCCAATCAGGGACATGCATGACCCATCCGTATCAACAACAAATATTGCTGCTTACGAGAACGAAATAAAAAATATCACAGAGACTGAAAAACATGCTGGATTTCTACAAAGCACTAAACCCAGTTAATCTGAGGTGAGTCATTTTATTTGGAATGATGGAGAACAGTGAGCTCCTTTGTTTCACAGGCATCACTGAAATCAACAAATCTGAGTGGATGATTATGTTTGCTTCTGGCTTGAGACAGGACAGAGGGAGAGGCGATCAAACTGATATCCCTCTACAAAAAATATAAGAGATATAAGAGACCTGCCAGGCAAAGGCACACAGACATCTCAGTAAAACTAACATTATGAATGCACAGATATTATATTACCTATACCTATAATGGACAATGTGAGATACAGAGTCATGCTGTGTCATCTTTCCCTTACACTATATCAGAACAGGCTATAAACAAACACAACTAATCTGAGCAGCTCATCTAGATGCTGTCATTTCTAATGGTCAGTGATAATTTTGGATCTTTCTAATGGACATGTCTACAGCCGGTCCTTTTACAGTCAGTAAAAGACTGTGGTTTGGAGCAGACGCAAGACTTTGGGGGAACAAACTATACTATTTTTAATGCGTTAGATGGAATTGTTTTTGTTTTTTTCAGGAAAGTTTGTTTTTAATAAGGCAAATAGAAAAGTGATGAAAAAGAATAATTAATCTTTAAATCATATTGCCAAGCCCTAAATGGAGAAAAAATGAATTACATAAAAAAAGTACTAAATTGCAACATCTAACAAACACAGACAAACAGCTCCCTCTGCTGGAGACAAACCTGACTACAACAACACAGGTGCATCAGGTACAGGGCCAATGAAAACAGTGACAAAGCAGGGCTAGTCTATGTATTTAATACTGTTTAAACACACACTGATTCAAAGTGCTTACAAAAGGAAGTCCAAATGTTAAATAAACATACAATTTCAATCCAAACATTGTAATGTGTGTGTACACACACTGCACACTGATTTATACAGTGTCACGTCTGTCATAAATATTAGGCATCTTAAGTTATTTCTAGACTGAAAGCAGATCTGGAAATCACATTTGATAATGTTTTATTTTCTATTGTTTTAGTCAAACGGTTAAATAACTCATGTAGACTTTAAATAATGCAATCTTTATCTTCAGATATCCCAGCCCAGAAAGTCAACTACAAGCTGCAATTCATAACAACAGTACAGTAGTAGTAGTAGTAGTAGTAGTTGTAGCTGTAGCAGCAGCAGTAGTAGTAGTAGTAGTAGTAGTAGTAGTAGTAGTAGTAGTAGTAGTAGTAGTAGTAGTAGTAGCAGTAGTAGTAGCAGTAGCAGCAGCAGCAGCAGCAGTAGTAGTAGCAGTAGTAGCAGTAGTAATAGCAATAGCAGTAGCAGTAGTAGTAGTAGCAGTAGTAGCAGCAGTAGTAGTAGCAGTAGTAGCAGTAGTAATAGCAATAGCAGTAGCAGTAGTAGCAGCAGCAGTAGTAGCAGCAGCAGTAGTACTAGCAGTAGCAGTAGCAGTACTAGTAGTAGCAGTAGTAGTAGTACTAGTAGTAGTAGAAGTAATAGTAACAAAAACACATTCAATAATTAATAATAAGTACGTTTGTGCAGCTTTATCGTCAGCTTTTTCTGCATTTATTTCACTTCTCTATAATATTTGTGGTGTCTTTGTGCACTGCAGTGGGTTTGGCTCATGTTATGTGCATCATGGAGATACCAGATTAATATATCAGATATATAATACTGGATTTTTGATCTTTATGCTAGTGCCGTGCATTGATAAACAGGAAACAGCTGTTGCAAACATGTGCGTGTTGTTTTGTGAAGTATGTCGGCTCAACATATCAGTGGTTTTCAGATCAGTCATACTCTCAGATGAAAAGCAAGAATCAGTTTTTCCTATTGATTACATTGTATTTTACCATGAAATATACAAAAGGTAAATGCACAAATGTTGAAGCTGATCATTTGTATTAGTGACTAGAGCCAAGAACTCAGTATTACAATAAAAATCCTGCATTTCAGCCATATTTATTTTACCTGTCCCGTCTGTATTAAACATTATGGGCCTATAGAATGTTGTGTTCTCATCTCAAACCCAACAATAAGCAGTGTTGGGGAGTAACAGATTACATGCACCAGAGTTACATAATCAGAGTACAAATTATGAGTAACTGTATTCAGTTACATTACTGTTTCAGTGAGTGGTAATTGGATTACAGTTACTTGTTTGAAATAAATGGATTACACGGTATTCCTGTTTTCACATTTTGGGCTATTCCCTTTTTTTTTTTTTTTCGGTAATTCCACTCATTGCCGGAAACTAAACCAGGTCTAAAACCAGGACTAAACCAGGTCTAAAACCAGGTCTAAAACCAGGAATCAACCAGGTCTAAACCAGAACTAAAACCAGGACTAAACCAGGTCTAAACCAAGATTGAACCAGGACTAAACCAGGACTAAACCAGGACTAAAACCAGGACTAAACCAGGTCTAAACCAAGATTGAACCAGGACTAAACCAGGACTAAACCAGGACTAAAACCAGGACTAAACCAGGTCTAAACCAAGACTAAACCAGGACTAAAACCAGGACTAAAGGTCTAAACCAAGACTAAAACCAGGACTAAACAGGACTAAAACTAGGACTAAACCAGGTCTAAACCAAGACTAAACCAGGTCTAAACCAGGACTAAACCAGGACAAAAACCAGGACTAAAACCAGGTCTAAACCAAGACTAAAACCAGGACTAAACAGGACTAAAACCAGGACTCAACCAGGTCTAAACCAAGACTAAACCAGGTCTAAATCAGGACTAAACCAAGACTAAACCAGGACTAAACCAAGACTAAACCAGGACTAAACCAGGACTAAACCAGGTCTAAACCAGGTCTAAACCAGGACTAAACCAAGACAAAACCAGGACTAAACCAAGACTAAACCAGGACTAAACCAGGACTAAAACCAGGACTAAACAGGACTAAACCAGCTCTAAACCAGGACTAAACCAGGTCTAAACCAGGTCTAAACCAGGACTAAAACAGGATTTAACAGGACTAAACCATGCTGTGCGGACCATGTCTCCTCCTCTTCTATCAATAATATTTTTAATACAGTTCAGTAAAGTCTGGGCTTTTTTATTTTCTTTTATCAGACAAAACATCTTATGTTACGATTTCCTCGTCTTTGCTTCTCTACAGCAAATCAAGTAATCCAAAGTATTTAGATTACGTTACTCACTTTAAGTAATTTAATGGATTCCGTTACAAACTACATTTTGGGGTATGTAATCTGTAATCTGTAGAGGAATATATTTTAAAAGTAACCTTACCAACAATAAGTCACATCACTGGAAATATAACAGTTCATTACAAGATCAAGGCTGGGTTTGGAGAGAAATGATTGTATGTACAGTGTATTGTAAGTATTGAATGATGTATTTTCTATTCTCTATTCTATTTTTTCTTTGCTCTCTTGGTTTCACAGATACTTGCAAACAAGACTGTAGTTTTGAGTAGTTGCAGTAGTTGTAGTTGTCATAGTAGCAGCAATAACAGAAGCCTACTCATTGTGGCACTGAGCACAAAGCAGACACACATCACCTCAATTAGAAGACGTTAGATCACCAGTATATAAACAACTATACGGGAAAACTCAGCTCTGTGTGTGTGCAGGGATGCTGAGACCCGTGCGCACACACACCGTGGGTCCCTGAGTGCAGCTGCCTGTGTGCAGCTGGGAGCAGGGTGTGGCCAGCCTCTCCCACAACCTCAGCCTGGGCTCCACTCTGGCCCACTTTCCAAATTTAACCTGGGCTAACCTCCAGGCACAGAGGGGAACAGCTCCGGACCTCACTGCCAGTTTTTTTTGTTTTTTTTTTAAAGTTCCGTTTATAGTGTAACTGTAATTTGCTGCATTTGT